AAGTAGTAAAGTAAAAATATCAGAAAAATCTACTTGAGTACAGTAACGAAGTATTTGTACTTCGTTACTTCCCATCTCTGTGCAAGTGTGATGCAGAGTCCAGTTTAGAGTTCAACACTTTAACAGTCTAATGGCAGTGGGGAAGAAGCTGTTGCAGAATCTGCTGGCAATGCATTAAATGCTGCAAAGCCTCTTCCCAGAGGGCAGCAGGGAGAACAGTCCATGGTGGGGGAGTGAGGGGCTCGGGACACGTAGCGCTGGGATGAAATGTCTTTTATGAAGGAAAGAGGAGCCCCCATGATCCTCTCTGCTGTTCTCACCACTCTTCTCACTTTCTTCCAGTCTGAGGCGCTGCAGCCTCCACACCACACAGTGAGACAGCTGGTCAGAACGCTCTCTTATCAAATATCTATGTTAAATATCAGATTTAGTGTTTTAGTCTTGTTTTTATGCAACTTTACTACTTTCCAACCCCCACTTTAGTTAAGCTGCACGGAATAAATTACTTTCATAAAGTTCACTCTGTAAAGTGTTTGACAGTTAAAGAGTTTTAGATATTTGTATTTTGTTAGTGAATTAATGACTTTGACATTAATGTTTACTCCTGTACATTTTTACTTCATCACCTGGATTTTTTTTGCATCTGTTTCTTCTTAAGTGTTTGATTAAGTGTGAAAAACATAAAATAGGGAGCTGCTGTCAGTAACACATCAAAAGTTTCTAGATAAACAAAGGCATTCATAAGGCGGTACAGGAGGTCGCGAAGAAGACTACGCAGGATGTCATCACCTTTTTTTCTCCAGCAAGTCCTGATTGCATTATCAGAAAGCTGGCATCTGGGCGTGACCTTGTTAACTGCCAGGGTAATCAACTTTAACCAAATGGGAGGAGAGGGGATGATAAATTATTAGTGAGGAAGATTTTGTTCATGTTTTATTAAATTGGCCTGTCAAAGGGGGCTGGTCAAATTATCTGGGGCCTCGTTTATTGGAGGCCGGCCATATTGGCGCATCTGTTACAATTATTTATAATTTCCAGGCAGGCAGCAGGACCAAGTATCAGCCACATAAAGCAATTTAAAAATTAACTGATGTGGGAGTGTGCGACTTTTCCTCATTCAATCTTTCTCTATCTGCTAATTTTGATTATCCCAAAACATAAAAACCTGAAGTGAGGAAGAAAGACAAAGAATGAGGAAATAAAAAAACAATCCAACTCTCAGGCAGGGGAGAGGATGTGATTGAAAGAGAAGAAGAAGACAGGCAGGAGCGTGAAGAAAAGGACGGAGGAAAGGATGAGTCTGAGGGAGGGAGCAAAAGAGAAAAAGCCGCTCTCGGTAATTACTGAACACGATTAGGTTCTTAGGGGATCTTGTCTGGCACTCGTGGCCCTTGCTGGTGAGGATGCGGCAAGCGAGACCATATGGAGCGAGGCTGGTGGTTGAGCTCCCTGAAGCTCGTGACCCGTCTGCTGCCGAGCCCTTGAGCTGAATCCGAAATGAGACTTGCCAGGGCTAATGTTCTACACATGCACCATTTATGCCACAAAACAAATCTGATCACTGTTAATTATGGAGCTGCTATAATCAGGAGGTACCCCCCTTACCCACGACATGACACAAAGAGAAAAACACACAGAGGCACTCACTCAATCACCTCCACAGAAACCAACGGCGTGACAGTAGAGATCAGCCCGACTCGAGGAGGGAGGGCGATGGGGTGAGTGCTCCCGACCGGGTCAGGTGGACTTTACATTCATGATGGTGTTTCTTCAAAGAATGTGCATGTGAATATATGCATGAGCATTGGTGCTAACCGGTTGTGTGGAGGGAAGGGACAGCACGCGGGGTGCTGGATGTTTTCTGTGTCTACGCTGCCCTGAGTCCTCCCACACAGTTTGTTTGACCCGCTCGGCTTTGCTCTAACGAGTGAGCGCGGCTCTCCGCAGCAGCGGCAGCAGCAGAAGCACATGGTTGTGCTTCGTTAATGAGGCTGGCAGTGCTACATAGAGGCTCTCATCTAATGAGAGCTGTTGAGCTTGTAAAACACACCGCTGGTGTCCGCGCCGTCGGTGCGTCTCCCACTCTGGAGGAAGGCCCGGTTTCAAGCAGACAGACCCACACCTGAACTTTTATTGATGACGGTAGGAACTACACGGCTCAAAAAAATAAAGTAAACAACACTGTTTAACTTCAGTCAAATCAAACTTCTCTGAAATCAAACCGTCCACTTAGGAAGAAACGCTGAAAATAAATTTCACCTGCTGTTATACAGATGCAAATGTACAACAGGTGGAAATTATTGGCAATTAGCGAGACATACTCCATAAAGGAGTGGTGGTGCAGGTGGGGACCAAAGACCTCTTGCTACAATGTTGGTGGTGCTTTCACACTCAAGGTGGCATGAGACAGACACTACAACACACACAAGTGGCTCAGGTATTGTGATCAATGCGAGCTTGATCACAGTACCTGATCACAGTACCTGATCACAGTACCTGACCAAGCTGTGGCAAGAAGGC